TTAAAAAAAAATAAAACATCCTCTGAAAATAAGCCCTAATACATTTTTGGAGCAAAAATTAATATAAGACCCTGTCTTATTTCCAGGGAAACATGATATATATGCAGCACATGTCACCTTGCTTTGCTTTTTATCATTTTTTGTTTCAACCAAGAGTTCAGGCTTGATTTTATGTAGGACTCACCTGTTCATCTTTTTGGCAACGCAAAGCTGTCTTCCAGCTCCATATTTTGAACAACTATGCATATTGTGTAGCATTGGGACTTTCTGTGTACATCGGCCACTAGAGGTCCTTACAGCTTTAATCAGTTTGCTTAATCAACGACAATGCTGTTTGTACTAGGCCTGTGCATATAATTGGTCTTGTCAGAATCACTTCTCCCTAAAGAGATAATGATCTCAGGCGAGGAGTCAATGTAGGCACAAAACTACCACTTACCATGATTCAAATAAGCTTACAATTCCTAGGTAAAATAAGAACAACTAAAACTGTACTAAGTAATCTTTGCTTTCTCTAACTTGGTAGAGAAGCTGGGCTAACTTCCCCCCCTTCTCCTTCAAAGGATAAACCTCTTTCCTCTCAGATTCCACAACATCCACCATCAATCTGTCACATACATGAACAACCATTTTTCTACATGTCTCTGGACCACCTCCTTTATGACGTTTCCAAACTGTTAACCGATTAAGATCATGGGGGCATAATACAGTCCACTCCCTATTTCACATAATATCTTCCAGGTGGCTTATTTTGTCCCAGTTAAGAGGTATTTGTTGTTTTGGCTTCTCTCAGTCTCTTTGTTCTTGCTTCTCATCTTGGTGCCAGGCAAAGTAACTCTGAACAACAATCTCATGAGAAAACCTACACAAAACGTAACAGACTCCATCTTTGTATGACCACAAGTCCCATTTTCCTTCTATTTCCTTACAGGTGTATATTAGAATACAAGCAGTCTTTTCTGTCTTCCATTGTGCATCTCATTTGAACCAACCTCTGAACCAACCCTGTTTAAATTATTGAGAGAAACTATAGAACAAATGCAAATTGCAAACACAAATGTAAAAAAAAAAAGATTTGTGGATGCTAATCTCGAGAATGATTCCCAGTGTTATGGGGCGCCAATATAAACAATAAAAATAACTGTCACAGTCTTTTATTCTCCCAATGCCTGGAGACAGGCCCTCTCCCTTTATTTTTAAAGAGTGTAAAGGCTTTGTAGAATGATCCAGGGTACGACAGATTACCTGTTGCTGCAATCATAACAGGTAGCATAGTGCTGGGGGGGGGGCAGGGGGGATCTCCTCTCTGATTATAATTGAGTTGACCTTAATTCCAAGTAAGTGCATATAGAATTGACTTGGCCTCAATTACAATGGCAATTTTGATTTTTGATTATTTGATTATTTTCAGTACATAACTGACTGGTCATTCCTATCGTGAGTGCCCTCCTACATAGGGCTTTTGAACTCTTCTACCTGATCACTTCAGCCCTTCCTAGCCTGGCCTCAGGTGGACCTTGGGCCACCCTCACCCTTGTTCCATGGCCAGTGACGATGAAAGGATAATATGGTGAAGGAAACCAGTGAGGCCATGGGAATTAATATCACAGTAGAGACGTTGAGGTCAAGCTATAATAATGTTTTGAAAAAGTGTTTGACTCCATCATCTTCAATTCTGTGGGTGGCTGTGCCACCTGAATAAGGACTGAAGCCCTGCTTTCCACTCTGCTCCCTGGAACAGCATTTGTGGAAATCACGCTCCACATTTGCTCAAAACATTTCTGAGGGAGTGCCTGCACCCACCCTGTGCTCATTTTTTCTTCTGAAGGCTTGCAAGTTTCTTCCCACCCGTCAACGAGGTTCCAGAGGCAAAGTGCCCCTTGGGGTGAATGGCGAGAGTATTTCGCCAGGGCTGTTACAGTGAAAGCGTCTCTCCCTAACCTAATGCTATTTCGTTGCAATGTTTGCACATAACGGACTTCCCCTCATGTGCCCGATTATTGTAAACCAGTTAACCCCAAAAATAGTTCCATGCCATCCTTTTGCATGATGTAATCAACAGGGGAAAAATGCAAATCAGCCCACTCCAAACCATTAGTATTTCCTGCATACTTTCCCCCCAAAATAGTTCCATGCCATCCTTTTTCATGATGTACTAATCAACAGGGGGGGAAATGCAAATCAGCCCGCTCCAAACCATTAGTATTTCCTGCATACTTTTTCCTGTGTAGTTAAGGGTCTTAGTTCCATTTTCAAAGCAAAGTTGGATAATTCAAAGTGTAAATTGTAGTGTAAAAACGGGACTTGGAAGAATATCTTGTAGTGTGTGTGGAGTGTGATCTTGTTCATGATAATCTGCTGCGTTTTACAGGTAATTTGGTTCTATTTTCATCCCTTTTAACTCTCCAGCCATACCCACAGGGCATATTAAGTCCTCGCTGGGCAGTTTTGGGTCTCTCCAACAGGATCAACTTGCTTCTGTAGATTGTTTGAGGGTGGTGTCCCTTTTGCCAGATTAAGGAAGGGCACTCTGAGGATGCCT